GGTTGAGCTATAGGCGCCGAGCCTAAAGTTTTTTTTTTTTTGAGACAGAGTCTCAAGCTATTGCTGTGGCTGGAGTGCCATGGCCTCAAACTCCTTGGATGAGCTATTTTTTGGTTGTAGTTGTCATTGTTGTTTAGCAGGCCTGGGATGGATTTGAACCTGCCAGCTCCATTGTACGTGGCTGGTGCTTTAGCTACTGAGCTATAGGCATTGAACCTCTTAAAGTTTTTTGGTTTTTTTTTTTTTTTTGATAGAGACAGAGTCTCACTTTATCACCTATGGTAGAGTGCTGTGACATCACAGCTCACAACAACCTCCAACTCCTGGGCTAAAGCAATTCTCTTGCCTAAGCCTCCTGAGTAGCTGGGACTACAGGCGCCCACTACAACACCTGGCTATTTTTTGTTGCAGTTTGGCTAGGGCCGAGTTTGAACCCGCCACCTTCAGTATATGGGACCAGCACCCTACCTACTGAGCCACAGGCGCTGCCCTTAAAGTTTTTTTTTTTTCTGAGGGGGCGGTGCTTGTGACTCAGTGCATAGGGCGCCGGCCCTATATGCTGAGGGTGGCGGGTTCAAACCCGGCCCTGGCCAAACTGCAACAAAAAAAACAGCCAGGTGTTGTGGTGGGTGCCTGTAGTCCCAGCTACTCAGGAGGCTGAAGCAAAAGAATCGCCTAAGCCCAGGAGTTGAAGGTTGTTGTGAGCTGTGACGCCACAGCACTCTACCAAGGGCAACAAAGTGAGACTCTGCCTCTATTAAAAAATAAATAAGTTTGATCCTTTTGTAGTTCATAAGCGTGATGATTAGGTTTTCGTGTGCATGCGTGAGATGTGCCTCCCACAAATCTTGTTACAACGTTGGCACTTTACCCATCTGACATGAAAAAATAAATAAGTACAATAAAATTTTTTTGAGACAGAATCTCGCTCTGTCACCTTGGGTAGAGTGCTGTGACATCAAAGCTTACAACAACCTCAAACTCCTTGGATGAGTGATCCTCTTGCCTCAGCCTCCCGAGAAGGAGTAGCCGACACTAAAGGCCTGGCTAGTTTTTCTACTTTTAGTAGATACAGAGTCTACCTGTTGCTCAGGCTGGTAGATTGGGCAATCCACTTGCCTCAGCCACCCAGAGTGCAAGGATTACAGATGTGAGGCAGCACAACCAGCCTATGAGGATGGTTTTTGGTTTTTTGATAGTTGTTTTTTTTTTTTTTGAGACAGAGCCTCAAACTATCCCCCTGGGTAGAGTGCCGTGGCTTCACAGCTCACAGCAACCTCCAGCTCCTGGGCTCAAGCGAGTCTCCTGCCTCTGCCTCCCAAGTAGCTGGGACCAC